TTGAGGCAACTAGTGCCTCCACTGAGTTTAGATAAAACACTCACCTCAAACAGGCAACAACCCTGAAACAATATGCTTCTGAGAAATCCCGGTCTCCAAATTTATAGAACACATGAACCACCGTAACTGGTCCCAACTCCAGCACTCGAATGACTAACACATATTTCATGCACGATCATTCCACGAGGAATACTTTCATGATTCTTCCGTGCCACATAGCAATAATTTGAATATCAGCAGTCTATCAACCAGGTAAGTACCGCAATACCAATGAACATTTGTAAGTCAAAACACAATGCGCCTTTCAGAAATGTGCACCATTCTCAGGGATAATCGAGCAGTTATAACATTCATCTAAATATCTGAAACTGACCATTTTGTCCAAAATTTGTGATCTTCCTTTCAAGAATGAACTGCCACCTTGTACATATAAATCTAATTCCCGAACACCACACTACATTATCATGTGAAAAGCACGAGAATCTCATTATAAACTTCGAGTCACTAGCAAATTACATACCCTATTAGTTAGAAACCTTTCTCTTACTTGTTTCCAGTAAGAAATTACAATACACAACACGTTCCCCACACCAGTAGAAAATATCAGGTTCAAACCATGGCAGAAACCATCAAGATCACTTTGAAATCCATTTGCACGTAATCAAGCCATCAGAACTAAATTCCTCTAACTCAAACAAGCCACGCAGGTCACCAAACCCAAGAATATTTCCGCCAAAACATTTGTAGAGCCTCACCACATCATAATTACCCAAAAGAACCGAGCATACCATTACCATACTAGTCTAGCCTACTACCAGTTGTCCTATTTTCTCCGAGTTTCTTCTGAATTACCCTCAAGTTGACACTTCTCCTTGTCAGAACACTACGATTCTTACCCAAAGCTCACTATAAGACATCCTAACATAAAATGACACCGCCCAAAGGCCCATAAGCCATTGTATTCTTCTTAAGCAACCCCATAACTACCGCAACTGAAATGCCCACTCTGAAATACCTTATGTGAATTTAAAATTATTCTTTTACCTTTATTATACTAGAATGTAGAATCCATAGTCATACAGAATTACCATAAGTACCGGCACCATCAAATGTAAATCTTAGATTCTATCCATACACAAATCCGGAAAAATTCTCAGTTGTTATATATAAACCATGAACCCATTATAACCTTCTAGAGAGTCATCCACTCTGCTCAAATCTAAATTGCACCGCCCAAACGGGCTGAAAGACACGTGCTCCCTTAGCTTAACAACACTCAAAGAGGTAACCTTGCCTTAACACTACCAATCAATTCATACTCCGTGCGTACTATATCCAACAATAACAAGTTCGTCATCCCATGATTTTCATATACTTATAAAGTGAAATATAACCCGTATCCAGGAATTTCTTTACTCGAGCCATCCTAGATCTCAATCTCTGCAAGTCATAACTGATTCACATGTATGCCTCAAATCGAAACTAGTACAACACATAACTATGAAATCAAATCATCAATAATAGGCTCCCCCACTTGGCTCAAAGCCATAGAACAAAACATTTCATAACTCATAATATCCATACTCTATTACTACCCTAATATTGTAGTCTGTTCAACGAAAATTCTTCACAAGCTCAGGTAACACATAACATTAAATACCTCAATTCTTCTACTAAGCTCGCATTCATTCTCGTGACACTCAAGTCAACTTTCTCAACCAGATTCAAATTCAAATCTCAATACATACACTCCGCTAGTAGAAAAGAAACTCTCCACTCATCATTATAAGGATCAGACATCCGTAAATTACCCCTCTTGTGATAACCCATATGCTCGGTCTCAAACTGGCATAATACCCTTTTACAGGCACAACTACTACGTAATCGCTTAACCTTTTTAAGTCCAAACTCATTTACAAGACATAAAAATTTAATTTGTCCCACAATTTAACAACGTGAAAAATCCTCCAATACACTCACAACTCGAGACTATACGTCAAATCAAGATAGAAATCAAGTACCCAATAGCAAACTCTTGAGTCACAAGTAACCTTTATTCGTCACATTCAACCCATCTGAAAACATCCCGCAATCACATCATACTTATCTTATAGCCATTCAACTGCTCATTGACCTATAAATTCCACCCATAGGGACACTATCAGACATATGAGTCAAAATGTACAAGTTCACACAATTGAAGCTACTGAGCTTAAGATGCGGTCTAACCCTGGCCTCAAGTCCTCCAGACTGGCCCATCACTAAAACACAAAATACATATCATGAACCTCGTTCATAGAATCACAAGCCGATGCTGCACAACTGATACCGAGAGCTCACATGCGCATACGAATGCGTGGAAATAATTTAAAGAGTTATGTTTCAAGCTGAATCAATTATGCACTATAGAATACAAGAAAGTGAAATTGTTCTCCTAAGGGTTCGGCAGCCTCTCGAAGATAAGTACAGACATCTCAGTACCGATCCGCAAGACTCTACTAAATCTGCTTATAACTCGTGAGACCTATGTAGCCTAGAGTTCTAATACCAACTTGTTACGGCCTAACATCTCACCTGTCGTGATGAGTATCAAGTCTAATTTCGAAGAAGTAGTGATGAGTCACTCACTATGGGTCAATAATATGTATAGTGCAAAATTCCAACTAGTTCATGAATTGGGTCCTAAAACTACCCGGACAAGACCTAGGGTGCACTACCCGTGGGCAAAGCATAGCCAATGGCATCAGCTACAACTCAGCCCAGACCAACTGTAGTCGCCGAGTTGCAGAAACTATTGGACAGATGGATCAGGCTACATCCTCTTGTCTTTGAGGTTGAGCTACATGAGGATCCCTAGGAATTCATTGGTCAGTGCAAGGACAGAGTGCACAACATGAGGATATTGGATTCCCATGGGTTAAACTTTGCTACCTTTCAACTAGAGGGCAGGGCCCGTAGATGGTTGCAGTCCTATCTTCTTAGAAGACCAGCATATTCTCCTCCTATGACTTGGTAGAGGTTCACTCGTATCTTCGAGTTGTTGTTTCATCTTGAGCAGCTCAAGCAGGGTCAGATGTTATTGACCGATTATGAGGCGAGGTTCTATGAGTTGTCTCACCATGCACTTCTGATACTACCTACTGATGCATAGAGAGTACAGAGGATTGCTGCAGTTTTGCACACTAGTATTCAAGCCACTATGGCCTGAGAGGTTGAGATAGGAACTTCTTATGAGTTGGTTAAGGTGATAGCTCGGTGGATTGAGGTTATGCGTCAATGTAGCTGAGAGCAAGCTATGAGAGGCAAGCGATTTTGATAATCTGGAGAGTTTAGAGGTGCTCCAGCTGGGGGTAGAGGTCAGTTAGTGAGAGGTCAGTCCAGCAGGCCCCCATGCCCAGCACCACAACCTCATCAGGGTGCTCTAGTGCGACCTTATCTCAGTGTTATGCCAGAAAGTTCTTATCGCCCACCAGCTATTTAGGGTTCCTCCAGTGGGTATTCAGGTCATCAGGGCCAGACTTCAGGTCAGTAGTGCATCGTACCGAGGGGTGGTTTCGAGTGCGGGGATATTAGTTATATGCGGAGGTTCTGCTCTAGGCTTTGGGGTATGCCAGTGCAGCAGGGTCAACAATGTATGATTAGAGCACCAGTTGCTCCAGCAGTCATCCAACCACCTAGAGGCTGAAGGAAGGTGGGTAAGGGTCATTCTAGAGGTGAAGGCCAGCCAGGTAGAGGCCAGTCAGGTGGCGCTCCAGCTCAGTTCTATGTTTTTCCACCCAGACCAGATGTAAAGGCCTCAGATGCTGTGATCACAAGTAATATTTCTATCTGCGGCAAAGATGCCTCAGTATTATTTGATCCAGGGTCTACATATTCCCATATGTCATCTCTATTTGCTCATTTCCTGGGTGTTTCTCGTGAGTCCTTGGGTACTCTTGTTTATGTGTCCACTCTTGTGGGCGATTCTGTTGTTGTGGATCAGATCTACCGGTCCTGCATTGTTACACTCTACGATTTTAGAACTAGAGCAGATCTTCTGCTGCTTGAGATGACCGACTTCGAGATCATCCTGGGAATGGACTGGTTATATCCATATCATGCCATCCTAGATTGCAATGCCAAGATTGTTACCTTGGAAATTCCAAAGTTACCTAGGTTGGAGTGGAAGGGTTCGTCTATCAGCGTATCTAATCAGGTGATTTCCTTTCTAAAGGCTCGACACATGGTCGAGAAGGGTTGTTACCGCCCACCAGCTATTTAGGGTTCCTCCAGTGGGTATTCAGGTCATCAGGGCCAAACTTCAGGTCAGCAGTGCATCACCGAGGGGTTGTTTTGAGTGCGGGCATTTTAGTCATATGCGGAGGTTCTTCCATAGGCTTCAGGGTACGCTAGTGCAGCAGGATCAACAATGTATGATTAGAGCACCAGTTTCTCCACCAGTCGTCCGGCTGCCTAGAGGCTAAGGAAAGGTGGGTAAGGGTCGTCCTAGAGGTAGAGGCCAGCCAGGTAGAGGTCAGTCAGGTGGCGCTCCAGCTCAGTTCTATGTTTTTCCTGCCAGACCAGATGTAGAGGCCTCAGATGCTGTGATCACAAGTAATATTTCTGTCTACGGCAAAGATGCCTCAGTATTATTTAATCCAAGGTCTAGATATTCCCATATGTCATCTCTATTTGCTCATTTCCTGGGTGTTTCTCGTGAGTCCTTGGGTACTCTTGTTTATGTGTCCACTCTTGTAGGCGATTCTGTTGTTGTGGATCAGATCTACCGGTCCTGCATTTTTACACTCTGCGATTTCGAAACTAGAGCAGATCTTCTGCTGCTTGAGATGACCGACTTCGAGATCATCCTCTGGATGGAATAGTTATATCCATATCATGTCATCCTAGAATGCAATGCCAAGACTATTACATTGGCGATTCCAAAGTTACCTAGGTTAGAGTGGAAAGGTTCGTCTATCAGCGCATCTAATCAGGTTATTTCCTTTCTAAAGGCTCGACACATGGTCGAGAAGGGTTGTTTGGCTTATCTGGCCTATGTTCTGGACACTACTGCAGAGACTCGGGTGATTGAATCAGTGCATGTAGTCCGGGAGTTCTTCGATGTATTTCTTTCAGATCTTCCAGGCATGCCACTAGATTGTGATATTGATCTTTGTATTGACTTGGCTCCAGATACCCAACCTATATCTATCATGTCGTATCGTATGGCTCCAAAAGAGTTGAAAGGGTTGAAGGAACATCTTGAGAAGTTGTTAGCAAAGGGGTTCGTCAGGCCGAGTGTGTCGCCTTGGGGTGCACCGGAATTATTTGTGAAGAAAAAGGATGGGACTATGCAGGTGTGTATTGATTATCGCCAATTGAACAAAGTCACCATTAAGAACAAGTACCCACTGCCGCATATTGATGATTTGTTTGACCAATTACAGGATGCCAGAGTATTCTTAAAGATTGACTTGAAATCGAGGAACCATCAGTTGAAGATTTGGGATTCGGATGTTCCGAAGACTAATTTACGGGCTAGATATGGCCATTATGAATTTCTGGTAATATCCTTCAGTTTGTCTAACTCCCCGACGGCTTTTATGGATTTGATTAACATGGTATTCAGGGCATACATTGATGTGTTTGTCATTGTCTTCATTGATGACATTTTGATCTATTCGCGCAGTACGGAGGAGCACAAGCAGCATTTAAGAGTGGTACTTCCAAGTGTGAATTTTTTCTAGACTTTGTAGCATTCTTGGGGCATATTGTATTGGGCGAGGGTATTAAAGTTTATACCAAAAATATCAAGGTAGTTCAGAATTGGCATCGTCCTACCTCGACGACTGAGATAAGGAGTTTTCTGGGGTTAACAGGTTATTATCGTCGGTTTGTGGAGGGATTTTCATCTATTGCAACACCTTTGACCAAATTTACCCAGAAGGGTGCTCCGTTTCGATGGTCCGATGATTGTGAGGTGAACTTTCAAAAGCTTAAGGAAGCATTGACTTCAGCACCCGTGTTAGTGTTGGCTTCCGGTTCAGGGATATATAGAGTGTATTGCGACACTTCACATGTTGGCCTGGGTTATTAATGTAGGAAGGGTAAGTTATTGCATATGTTTCATGTCAGCTGAAGCCCTATGAGAAGAGTTGCCCGGTACATGATTTGGAGTTAGGTGCGATTGTTCACACTCTTAAAATTTAGAGGAATTATCTTTATGGAGTGTCATGTGAGGGTAACACTGATCATCACAGCTTGCAGCATTTGTTCAAGTAGAGGGATCTCAATTTGAGATAGCGCATATGGCTCGAACTACTAAAGGTTTATGATATTACCATCTTTTTATAATCTGGGCATGGAAAATGTAGTTGCAGACGCCTTGAGCTAAAAGGCGGAGAGTTTGGGTAGTTTGGCCTTCATTTCAGTAGAGGAGAGGCCATTATATTTGGACATTCAGTCCTTGGCTAACAGATTTGTGAGGCTGGATATTTCAGAGCCCAGCCGAGTTCTTGCATGTGTTGTTGCCCAGTCTTCACTATTTGAGTAGATCAAGGATCGCCCGTTTGATGACCCACACTTGTTGGTTCTTCGAGAGATGGTACTACGAGGTGACGCCAAGGAAGTTATTAGCGGCGAAGATGGTGTTCTGCGACTCTAGGGTCGCCTATGTGTTCCTAACGTTGATGGCTTGAAGGAAAATATCCTAGATGAGGCACACAAGTCTCGGTATTCTATTCATCCACTATGAAGATGTATAAACTCTGAGGTAGCATTATTGGTGGCGGCAGATGAAGAAGGACATATTTAAGTATGTAGCTAGGTGCCTAAATTGCTAGGAGGTTAAGTATGAGCACCAGAGGCCAGATGGCCTACTCTAGAAGATGACTATACTGGAGTGGAAATTGGATCGCATTACTATGGGCTTCGTAGTTGGGTTGTCGCGGACCTTGCGGAAGTTAGATACAGTTTGGGTCATTGTCAACAGGTTGACCAAGTCGGCACACTACATTACGGTTGTGACTACATATCCTTCAAAGAGGTTGGCCCAGATGTATATTCAGGAGATAGTTTGGTTGCACGTTGTGCCAATTTCCATTATAATAGATAGAGGCCCTCAGTTTACGTCACATTTATAGAGAGCCATACAGAGTGAATTGGGGACCCGTGTAGAGCTCAGCACAGCCTTTCATCCACAGACCGACGGGCAGTCATACTGGTTATTTTAGATCTTGGAGGATATGCTCAGGGCATAAGTGATTGACATCGGAGGTCAGTGGCATCGTTTCTTGCCTTTGGTCGAATTTGCTTATAACAACATGTACCAATCCAGCATCGAGATGGCTCCATTTGAGACTTTTTATGGCCGACGATGTCGTTCGCCCATCGGATGGTTTTAGCCCGATGAGGACAAGTTATATGGTACTGATTTGGTGAAGGATGCCTTGAAAAAGGTAAAGTTGATTTAGGAGTGACTTCGTACAGCACAGTCCAGACAGAAGAGTTACGTAGATATGAAAGCGCGTGATTTATCATTTATGGTGGGTGAGAAAGTTCTCTTGAAGGTTTTACCGATGAAGGGAATCATGATATTTGGGAAGAAAGGCAAGTTGAGCCCAAGGTTTATAGGCCCATTTGAGGTGTTGAGATGAGTTGGGGAGGTTGCTTACGAGCTTGATTTGCCTCATAGTCTATCAGGAGTTCATCTGATTTTCCATGTATCTATGCTCCGGTGGTATCATGTCGACCTATCACATGTGTTAGACTTCATCACAGTTCAGCTAGATGAGAGCTTGGGTTATGAAGAGGAACCAGTTGCCATTGTTGATAGGCAGGTTTGCCAGTTGAGGTCCAAGAATATTTCTACGGTAAAAGTTCAGTGGAGGGGCCAACTAGTAGAGGAAGCGACTTGGGAGGCCTAGGAGGACATGCGGAGCAGATATCCATACTTATTCAGCATTCCAGGTATGATTCTAAACTCATTCGAGGACGAACATTTGTTTAAGAGGTGAATAATGTAATGACCCAATTGATCGTTTTGCTTTCTAGAACCTTGTTCCCCTAAATAAGACTCCTGGTATGTGCTTTTATGTTTTTTTGACTTGCGGCCCGGTTAGTTCAGGAATTGGAAGGATTCAGGTTGAAATCAGAACACTTGGTTCCTTAGTTGTCCTTAAAAGGGATAAGTTTGGTTTCGGTCAACGTTTTGAGTAAACGACCTCGGAATTAGAATGACGGTTCAAATAGGTTCATATTATGATATTTGACTTAGGCGTATATTCGTATCAGGTTTTGGATGACCCGGGAGCGCTTTGGCACCTAATAGCGAAAGTTGGCTCTTTGAAGGTTTTAAATTTCTTTAAATTTGGTTTGTAGTAGGTTTTGGAATTCGGAGCCTGGGAATAGTTTCGTATGGTAATTTAAGACTTGCACACAAAATTTGGTGTCATTCCGAGTAGGCTAAGTATTATTATTCAATTCGTTGTAAGGTTGCGATTCTTGTTTTCTTTGTTGATTTACGCATTTCGAGAGTTCGAGCAGGTCCATATTATGTTTACAGACTTATTGGTGCATTTTGACGGGGTCCCGAGTGGCTAGGGTGAGTTTTGAACCACCCGGAGCTAAGTTAGAAAAAGCAGATTTTCCAGCTCTGGTTTTCTCCTTCGCGAATGCGGAAGGTCTCTCGCGTTCGTGATGAAGGAATTTGCGAGTTGGGCAAATACCCTTCGCATTCGCGTGAAAGGTTTCGCGTTCGGGAAGCTTGGGATCCTAGGCCTACGTGTTTGTGAAACACTTCTCGCGTTCGCGTAGAAGTACGGAGGACCAGTGTATTTCACTCTTCGTATTCAAGAAGTGTAGACCAGGCAAGTCTTCGCGTTCGCGACACCCCTGTCGCGTTCGCAAAGATCATTTTATGGCTGAGGGAATTTTGACTTCGCGAACATGAGGCACTATAACGACCCGACTGGTCGTTTTGATAATTTATGTCCCGTTCAGTAGCATAAGGCCCTAAGAAGCTTCGTATTTTATGTATTTACTTGCGCGTATGGTTGAATTCAGTTACCGGATGATTCAGAGTGATTTGGGACACTTAGTCCCTAAAACAAAAGATTAAGTTTTAGGATTTTGACGGTAGTCGGGACTGCGTGAAGACGACTCCGGATTGGAGTTTTGACAGTTCTGTTAGCTCGGTTGGGATATTTTGGACTTAAAAGCGTGTCCAGACTGTGAATTTGTGGTCCCTAGCTTATTTAGGTATGAAATGGCGAAAGTCAAATTTTTGGAGATTTGGACCAGTAGTGGAAATTTTAATATCGGGGTCGGATTCTGATTCCGAAAGTTGGAATAGGTCTGTAATGTTATTCTGATGTTATTTGATAGGTTTCGGCATCGCTTGTAGAAATTTGAAGTTTCAAGTTCTTTAAGTTTGAATTGGAGGGTGATTCGTGATTTTTGCGTTGTTTGATGTGATTCGAGGGCTCGACTGAGTTCTTATGGTGTTTAAGATTGGTTGGTATGTTTGGTTGAGGTCCCGGGGGCCTCGGGTGATTTTCGGGTGCTTAACGGATCAAAAGTTGGATTTGTGTTGCTGTTGAAGTCTTCAGGCATCTGGTATTTTCGCACCTGCGGTGGAGAGACCGCAGGTGCGGGATCGCACGTGCGGAGAGGAAAGCGCAGAAGCGGAAAAGTGGAGGAGTGCCAGGGGGTCGTAGGTGCAAGGTAAATTCCGCATCTGCGATGCCCGCAGATGCGATGGAGCAATCGCAGGAGCGACGAAGGACCGCAAAAGAGGACATGAGTCAGCAGGTGCGCACACGCAGGTGCGACCCTTGGATTCGCAGAAGCGGACGCTGAGTTTTGAGTGGAATCCGCACCTGCAATGGAAATTCTACAGGTGCGGTGACGCATGTGCGCAGGCAGGTCCACAGATGCGGTTTAACTGGCAGAAAAGGTACCAAATCGAGGGTTTGATTCATTTCTTCATTTTTGGACTTGGGAGCTCAGGAATTGGCAATATTTCGAGGGATTTTCAGAGAGAGCTTTGGGGTAACGATTTCTAACTCTTTTTTGGTTGTATTCCATTAATCTATAGTTGTTTTCTCCATTTAATTTTGGATTTGGGTTGAAACGTTGGGAAAATGGGGGAAAAGTTCTTCAACCGACTTTCTGAGTTTTTATTGGGATTTAGACATATGATTTGGTTAATTTTTATACGAGTGAACTCGTGAGTGAATGGGTGTTCATATTTGGTAACTTTTACTCGATTCCGAGACGTGGGCCCGAGTCCACTTTTTAGGACAGATTTTGGAATATTTATTAAAAACTTGATTTCATTAATTACATTAGCCTATTATAGTTGTATTTAAGATATGTAATTGTTTTGTCTAAATTTGGGCTATTCGGAATCGGATATTCATGGGAAAGGCATTGTGACTGATTTACTAAGCTTGGTTCGAGGTAAGTATCTTGCCTAACCTTGTGTGGGGGATTTTTCCCTTAGGATTTGAGTCTTCTATGTTGATTGTAGTCCATGTACGCGAGGTGACGAGTGCGTGCTAGGACTTATATGTGAAAAGTTGGCCTTTTAGGATTATTAGGTCCTTATATTCAACGAGTATGAAGTTGTTCTTGATATGATTAAATTCCTATTTACTAGTTTCACCTCTACATGCTTTAATTAGAATTAATTGCTTCAGGATTCACTTTTATTTTACTT